TTCGAATGAACTCCGTATTCAGATTATTCGACTTTGTTGCAGAGCCAACTGCCGAGTATCAAGCTCACTTCGTCCGCGTTTTTTTTCCGCAAAACTCGGTAATGCATATTTTACAACCGTCATACCTTTGAACGGTATGGAGAGTCGCATTCTTTCAAACTGCGACGGTAAAAAAACCATATGTGAATTTTAATTGATGCTTTTTCGATCAATGATGTTCGCATTGCTATTGGCACCAAATCAGCAAAGAAGATATCAAATTCAAGCTCATGTTCTGAGTTCATATATTGAAAGTGTTTTGAAATGCCTGTTTTTCCTTTGCATTGCTCATGCTTGTGGTACGCAAAGCCCACACTAGTGAGCACTCTTGCTCGCATGAGTTATATTGCACAACTGCCTCTACTCGCTACCTTAGAGATTTTTTGCGAATTGGCGTATTTTGACTAAAGGACATCGCAGTTGTAGTGCAGGATTAGACGGTTTAGATCGCCGTACGCGATTTGCCAGTTACGAGATGTCTTCAAATGTAACGCCAGCTTACCACAAGTGTTTAGCGTGTACAACTTACTAAAAAAATAAATGCCCTGCAATTTGTACTTTTAGAATAAGTTTTGGACAATTTTATTGCCAAACCACGTCGCCACCGAAATGCCTGCAGTATGCCTGGGGCTATAGGGGCATTCGTGCTCGCTTCGCGTAAGAAACCACATGCCTTCGTCCACGACTAGCTTATACCACACAAGAGAAAGTCTCCGATGAACAGGCAATGTATCGTAGCATTTGTGGAATTCAAGTACATATCGATTTAAGTACATATTGGTTTTAAGTACACATCAATTTTTGGAAAATTTTGAGCTAGGAGCTGGTATAGGGGATACGGGGGTGCTGAATATGAATTCGGCTTTAGCCCGATATGTCGGCAAGTTTGAGATATGGTTGCTCTAGTTATTCGATAAATCATTCGAATATTTATTCGAAATTCGACCTCCAATGTTCGAATATATTCGATATTCATTCATTTGACATTTTTGATTTTACGAACTTATTCGGAATTCATTCATTCGAGCCATTTTGAAAACTCGAATTTATTCGGTATTCGTTTATTCGAAATTTTTCCTTTTCGAACTTACTCGATATTCATTCATTCGATGAAAAATTTTCGAATTACCCAAGTATACTGGGAGGTCTCGCTTCACTCTTGATCACACGACCACCCAAGGTCACAATTTTACTCTCTCGGTTACAGTAATCCCAGTAACCACTGAATTACCATTCTTGTTGTCTATTTCACAGTATTACATCGCAACCGAGGCAAAACCCCTCGAAGAGTCTACACCCGCTAATAGCTGGAGGTAAGGCAACCCCTAAAAAGCTCTCGCTGGCGCAGTTTTTTAGGGGTTGTGCCACGCCCCATTAACTTACCTTCAAAGCATTCAAATCCCTGTCCTTTTTATATGGTTGCTACTGCTAAACCTTTTTCTCCACATAGCACGAATTTCACTGAAACTGTTTCACCTAGGAAAACATATAGTCATTTTTCCTTAGCTATGCAAATGGAAAACCTACGAAAATATTGGATTACGGTAATATGCTAAGTCTGCGCTACTGCGTGAATCGCGAGGGAAGGCGATAAGAGCAATATATTTTTTAGCCTGGTCCTCGTAACTTTCATACAAGCAATTTGAGCCCAATTGGTCTTCTCTAGTCTGAGAAATTGAAAGCGAAAAACGGGACAAACGAGATTTTTTGGCTTGCTCTTACTTCCAGATTTCGGAGGTTTTGGAGGGGATTCCTAATGTGAGCAAAGAAGTAGTAGTACTTTGTAATGAGTGCAAAAAGAAGCAGTTTACTTTGAAACAAAGTTAACATGTTTTCGAAAATGACTACTTCACTTGAGTGTCCCAGTATATGGAAGCTTCAAAATTTTTGAAACTTGGCTCACAGGGGTTATTTGACATGCTAATTACGAAAATAAAGCGCTCAAGCTTCTTGGATTCTTTTATTATGCTTATTGTACGTGTACGACGGTAGGCAAAACTCCAATGCTCGTATCTTACACAATGGGTCTATCAGTCGCTACGCTAACATCACTATCCATCGATAACCATCCCCCTCCTCTACCTGACCCCTTTACGACCCCCCGGTGTGGCGTACCACACCCCTGCTTGGTCCTGGTTATAAGACGATAAGACGACATAAGAAGTAAGTTGTATATATACGATACTATTAGGTTGGTGAGAAAGTTCTCGGACATTGCCTTTAGACAAAGATTTTGCTTCGATGCAAGCAACAGATAGGGCATGCGTACATTATCGGATAGAGGAAAGCAAACACTACAAGATCATACTAATCACAACCACGGTTAATGATTCCTGTTAGAGGCGAAAATTCGAAGACATAGGATTTCGAGAGAGCACAGAACTCTACCTTCCGTAAACACTGTAACACTCACAAATAATCCAATATATAGTAGGCATGAACTCACATACATATATGCAAACTCTGTATGGAATTTGAGCCTAATTAGCAGGAAAAATGAGATAATCGAAAAGTGGCAAGCTCCACCCCTATTGACCCTAAGCACCTCCCACCTGCATGAGTATAAGTCGCGTATATGTGAGATACCACTACAAATTTTTGCGTTCATAGATGCATTACAACCCGAGAAATAGGAATTTTAGCGTGAAAATGTCCGAAAACTTTCTTACCAACCTAATAGCTGGCTTACCCGGCTCCGCCCGGCGCTGCCAAAACACTATGATAAAGCTCCTATCCCTATCCCTGTACAACCTTACCCTGTTCCCACTTCTACATGCCAATTTCTCAATTTTCACAATTTTTCTAACCTTTTGTAATAACTCCCGGAAGATGTCCAAGTAATGGATGGATAGAGCAAACCCTATAGGAAACGGTGCCATTTTTTTCTGCTCTCCGTATCACGTCATAATTTTTGCAGAGATTTTTCAATGAAGTCACAGAATTTTTGCAGGATTGTCTCAAACACATATGCATCAAACACCAATAGACTTTCGGATTCTGAAACTTACAAAGGTGGATTATGGTTTACTAATTTTACAAAGCATATGAACATTTACCGCTTCAGATTAGCAACTTTCGGAAATTTTGGGTCCAGCCTGGGGCACCCTGGAAAACCTGAATTATGATGATTTTCTCCGGAAAACTTTATGAATCGTAAACCAAAGGCAACAGGTAAAAAGAAAAGAAAAAGCTGCGTTGAATGACACCCGAGTTGCTTGCCGGTTGTTGTTCTGTGAGGTCTGAGTTGACCAAATATGGAATTTGACAGCATCGAAAAATTGGTTCTACAAACTCTAAGAAGCAAACTAAGGAAAAGAAAAAAATTGTTTTGTGTCCTATAGGGTTTGCTCTATTTATCTTTTACTTGTACATCTTCGGGGAATCAGTACAAAAATATAGAAAAATAGCCGAACTTGACCATGATAAAAAGCATGAGTCGCAGGTTTTGGTAATTTTTTGAGAGCTCCTTGAATATTATGCAATGAGATTACAACCATTAGAAAGAGGACAAAATTCTGCATCGAATAAACCCAAGAGCTCTTGAAAATCTTGGTTCCACGAATTGTGGCGTTCATTTGAAAAAAGCGACATTACTTTCGGAACGACCTAATAGATCAAACAAAAGCGTTCTTTTGCGAAATTTTGATTGGAGCACGATATTCCGCGACTGATGAACGTTGGCTGTATACCATGCTCTTCTATGTTCTCAAAGTACCTCGACCAAGTTACAGGTTCATGGTATTCTCTTCAACGGCTCCTTCATCCCTTAAGCCTTCTATGCCCACATTGTCCAGACGCGAACTTTTTCTCCAGCGCAAGCATCGGGTGGACAAACTTGACTGGGAGGACGTGCGTTATACTACAAAGACCTCGCTGCCAAAGGGAACGGCCATAGGTTGTCGGTGTTGTCGATGTTGCCGGTGTTGTCGGGGTTGCCGAGGTTGCCGGTCGTTGCAGGACCTCATGATAGTCTCCACGTTTCGCGCGCTCTCTAAACTGTCTCTGATCCCGACAACCCCGACAACCCCGACAACATCGACAACATCGACAACACCGACAACCTATGGCCGTTCCCAAAGCTCGCCGCCATAGTCGGCACGCGCGCCGAGCTAGCTTACTGTATCCCGCACCCATTTTGCACCGGTGAGCTTGAGCCATGAGAACAATCGCGCGAACGCGGCCGCGCCGCGATGTCGCGAATTTTGCAAAAAGAACACGAAAATACTAAGAAAAAATTCCTCTTTCAGATTGACGTGCTGCATCTCTGTCGCACCGCATAAGGTGAAAATTTCATAGAAAAAAACTTGTTAATTTCCTGTTTTTTATGTGATTCATGTTCATTTTCAAGTAAAATCAAAGGAATGAAAATCCGGCATCAGCTATCTTTTTTTGTCCTAATAAGTTAAGTTCGCAGGTCATCATCGCCATGTTACTAACCTCAGCTTGCAATCTAGGCCACAGGTCACAGCTTGTAGTGACAATTAAGTAACTATACCATGGCAAAAACAAACATGAAACAAAAAAGAAAACTGGAGAAACACTAGGGAGTTTCCAAACGAATCTTTTGTTTTTATTTGGAAATATAAACGAACATGAATCAAATAAAAACAGGAAATTGACAGTTTTTTTTTTGAAATTTTCACCTTATACGGTGCGATGGACGATGCCGCACGTCAAAATCTGAAAGAGGAATTTTTTCCGAGTATTTTCATGTAACTTCTTGTCAAATTTGCGACATCGCGGCGCGACGTCGACGCGACAAAGCTGGCGAGGCTGCATTCGCGCGATTGCCTCATGGCTCATGCTCACTGCAGAATGGGTGCGGGATACAGTAACCAGCTCGGCGCGCGCGCCGACTATGGCGGCGAGCGTTGACGGCGAGGTCTTTGTAGTAAAACGCCACGCCACCACTTGACTGCACTACTATTCGTTATAGAAGCATTTCTAGAAGGGCACTTCTCGCAAGAATTTATCTGTGAATATAGATACTGATAAAGCAAGCACACGAGATGAATTTAAAATAGTTATCACAACAACACTGGAAGATCACGAAAGGTCAAGACTAAGAGGATTTAGACAGGTACAAGCAAATGAAATAAATAACATTATGTTACACCGTAAATTACAAAGAACCCATACAATCAGCTGATTATGCCATGTTCAAGGAGATCCATAACTTCGTCTAATTTCTTGTTTCCACCTAGCGCTCTAATTTCTGCACGTATTTGTTCACTGATTTTCCGAAGTCTGTTTAGAGTGTGCCTGCAAGATTAAACGATGCAAAAACGGGAAAATATTGCATGATGAGCGTGGTATGGACGACCGGTAACGACACGGCGCTGAAACGGCTGGATTCGCCATGGAGCGCGGATTGTGATTAGAGCGGATTTCCTCACTTGACTTCAATTTGGACAAATAGGATTCGGACCAAACCATGCTCGCAGCACTTTGGGCGGGGAGGGTGTGTTAGCCTACTTGTATCACTCGATAACTATTTTGGTTTTTGAGTCTGAGCCACGGGTGGAGTTGGTTGGTGCAGATGGATAAGTACCCTCGATATCATCCCATATGTCTTCCCTCAACATGACGTGGATTACGTGGCTTGATGAGGCGCCGTCTCGCCTCGGCCTCGCGCCACGTTGCGAGCGCATCATTTGGCGCGACGTGGCGCTCAGCACAACGTGGCGCAGGCTTTTCCACGTTCTTCTTGTTGCCACATCACGTCGAAGATGCGCACGCAAACGTGGCGCGAGGCCGAGGCGAGACGGCGCCTCATCAAGCCACGTAATCCACGTCATGTTGAGGGAAGACATATGGGATGATATCGAGGGTATATATGCTGAACACGAAAACATAATGGGGAAGGGAACGTAACATACGGAAGTGGGACAGCGACAGAGGAAACTTGTTTAGTGATGGAATATTGACTTTACTATAGCGTGTCAAAGGAAAGGGTGGAGTCAAGTATGCCGGCCAGAGATGCAAAGAGTTCTACATTTTCTGGGAAAGAATAAACTCAATGGAAAACACTACTTGATCTTCAGATCAAAAGTAACGAAGAAATTCTGATGAGTCCAACAAAAAAGACTCGACCCAAGTTAGTCTGTAGTGGAAAGTGTTACTGCATTGAGACTCACGCATCGTTTGTGCCCGGAGGGGGTTCTCAGTACCATCAACGTGGCTGCCTTCAATCGTTTCAACGTGTCAGCTTCGAATAAGCGCCTTAAATTTGCTGTAGTTAACGTGTCAAAACGATCGAAAGGCAGCCACGTTGACGGTACCTACGAGAACCTCTCTGATGCACAGACCATACAGTGTACAACCAGCGTACTTGAAAGCAACACTGGATTACACGACAACATGTGCAAGAACAAGAGTGCCATTAAGGAAAATCAATTTCAGTCTATCTTCTCTTTTATCTTGCAACCTTATTTTGATCAAGTATCCAGGGATTACTGTCTTGCTAATTATAACGACCACATCTCATGCACCACTTCCGCATAATCGCACTTTTGTTCTGCTTCTTCACTTTCGCCTAGTTGTTGCAAGCTAAGAGATGTTGATTATGTTATATGTTCCAAATATCAATACCTACATTTGGTTCACCTTTGTGCAACAACCAATTCCCGTTTCTGTAGTCTATGTAGTCTAGTCAGTATATGCATCTAGCCTCAGTTGGAAGGACCTGCCACTGCGGAAATTATCACAAAATAAGTACTTTTATGTGCACTTAATCGGAGCGGACTCTTATAAGTGAACATGCGAAAAAGAAGCACTTGAGTCAAAAAGAAAAACAAAACCAATCATTTTTCATCAAACGCTAAAAAATAAAGTTCCATGCCAATAACGCGTTCCGCTCGACAGCCGCGCTCCACGGCGAATCCAGCCGTTCCAGCGCCGTGTGGTTACCGGTCGTCCGTGGTATGCGGAATGGTATACACTTACTCAAAAGAATTTCGTTCTTTCATGACGCTGATGCAGTACTTCTTGACTTCCACGTCCTCTGTTCGTTGGCGTAAAATATCTGAATTTTTCATAATTTAAAAAATCTAAATATTTCAATAACTCACTCAGTACGGGGTCATCATTATCCGACACTGGTGAACTTCGAATAGCATGTATTATAGGAAACGAGAACTTTCCCTCTGTCAGATCTTCAGCAAAAGATTTTTGTTTGGCCATATCATCGGAGAGCAGATTGAGGTAGTCATCTCTGAAATATTGAGGACTTAGATAGCAACTCGCTATAGATGATGATATAGAAACCAACCTGATCTGGAAAAAAAGCGCCATCAACCTGAGTAGCGTAGAAAAGTCATAGTCTTCCTCGCTAAATAGCTCTATCAATTTCACGGCCAAAAAGAAGAGTCCCCCAGTCTCTAAAATTTACGAATCATCTAATTAAGCGAACTCGTTGTTGCATTAACTGCGAAAAATCTCTTTCATGACTACTAATATGTTAAGGAATAAGCTCATGACTTACTCTGGACGACCATCTCCTCGTATTCTGCTTCGGTGGGACATGTCACAGTATCTCTCCAGAATAACTCTTTACCCTGCCCTCTATGTAGCTCTAGCATCTGTTCTGAAAGCAGAATTAGCAAGATCAATAGCAAAAGTAACAACAGTTGAAAACTTGATACACAAAAATTCCTTAACCAAGGTAAGGCCAGCTAGAAGCTAGTTTTTTACTTGCAAAAAATTAAGTTCCCTACCTGCGAAGATTGCAACAGCCTTAGGCGATAAACGCGCGCATTTTTCCAGCGCTATAAAGTATACATAATTTGCTGTATTTATCGTTCTTGGTGTGCCAAATATATGATGCGTGACTGGTAAACCGCGTCGCAATACTGAGTTATCCTCAATGTCATCGATCATCAGCGAAGCATTATGCAGCATCTGCACAATTTCTAAAGAATCCAAAATCACTACAATTGTGCAGTTGCTTTGTAGTGTGAACTTACCCATGATTGTAGATAATTTGTCATCTCCAATTTTCAGCCAAACATTAAAAGCCATGGCTAGTTTACCTCTGATCTGAAGACAATATTGATTTTATGAATAAACCGAGAAAAATAACATACCTGTTTTCCCGGCATAGAAGTGATGTAATCAAATGGAGCCAATAGATGTTCTTCATCAGTCGAAGCTACCGCATCTCCATTGGAGCAAGTAGCCATCTAAACCCTTTGTATGACGTTTTTTTTCAATGCTTTTGACAGAGAAAAAGTTATGGCAATCCATTTTTTGTATTCCCTAAACAAAATTCAACAACCCTTTATCACATAGCTTGCAAAGAAAAAAACAAGAAAGAAAATGAAGATCATCTGTCAGGACAACAACAATAATAAAACTGTATGACAACATAGATACAACACATAGATTTACCGGTTTGAAGAATAAAACAAAACAACAGCGACTCTTAACATCTACTAGTTACCTAACATTTTTCTGAACTCATCGTTGCTCATGGGCTGTTTAGGACCTCCATTCACTCCATTAGCTCTAGATGACGCGGTTTTCACACCTCTCGGCACCAGTGAAAGAGCTGCTTTTCTGTCAGTGGAAGAAGTCGATACGGGATGCGATGTAGATGCTTCTGTCTTTTCCTGTTTTTTAGGTGGATTGGACAATGCCACATGTAATTTGCGCTCTGAAAGCAAAACCGAGTAGTAAAAACTTGAAAACTAGATTTTTTCTTTCAAGACTTTTCCAAGTAATTTTTTGAACTGGTTTGATTTGAACTTACCAAGAAGTATTATTTCTGGAGCTTCAAGTGCTTTTCGTGCATCATCCTCTCCTTCAAATTCAACATAAGCAACTCCTTTCGGTTTTCCAGATGGATGAATAACGATTCGAACAGCTTTTACAGCTCCAAACGCAGAGAACGCTTCCTGAAAACTTATTCTCAATCTCACAGACGCCTAAAAGATCTGCCCGTGTATTGTTCCGATTTTGATCGATTTTACAACATCAAACAGCGCCGTTCCTTCCCAATGACCTTCAACGCAACGAAAACAACATCCACCCCGCCGCCCTCAAACATCGGAGCCTCGTTAGCTCAGTTGGTAGAGCGTTAGACTTTTAATCTAACGGTCAGGGGTTCGAGTCCCCTACGGGGCTTAACGTTTTGCGCATTAGAGAACATTATAAAAATGACATTATGCAATCTCTGATCTATTTCTACAATCAAAAAACTATATGATAAGCTTCACAAACCAATTTTCATTGGATTGAAAGCTTGAAATGCACTGACAATTTCCGATAGGGAAAGTAATAATTTTGAGAAACAAATATTCTCACCTTCAATTGTTCCTCTGTACAATCGTAATGAACATTTCTCACGAACAACTTTGTCTTCTCAAGGCCAGTAGCGTACTTGAAACCGACTCGCTTTTCAGGATTACTTACAGAGATCTACAAATTGTTAACACATCATTCCTTAATGCATAAGATAAAAGCTAAATTACCAGCATGGGCCTTCCTTTAAGAGGCATTCGATCATTGGCAAGTGCTTTACGGTAATTTTCTTCAGAGTCCAAATCAACAAAACCGTAACCTTTAGTAAGCTTGCTCATTCCGCGATGAACTAACCGCACTTCAACGACTCCTTCCAAAGCCTAAACGAATCTTGAAGAAAACGGAGGGGAGGGGGGGGGGAATAAAACCAATTTTACCTCTTTGACTTCTTCTGCAGTCGTCTTAAAGTCGAGATTCGAAATAAATACTGTAAATTTCTTCTCATCTCCTGTGGTGGCCGACGATTCAGCAGGTTGATCAGCAGAATTAGCATCCGAAGAGGATGGTGTGGCCGCCTGAACGGAGAGGTCCTGCATCTATAACTTTCGTAAACACTGGCGTCGGAAAAGATATGGAAAATAGAACGGAGGGTACTCAAACTGCATAGTAAGAACTATAGCTTGAGTTACACTTAATGTTGAAAGACAGACGTTTGGGTGACACATAAATCGCTATAAGCTCTGACAGATGCGTCATACTTCCTCCGAACATGTGATGAAATGCATCAAAAGAAAATATCATTGTGCGTCATCACACACTGCTTGTTCAAACTCGTAGCAGAAAGGGAAGGGAATTACTTAATCGACACATTCGGCTTGACGAAAGCGCAAGGTCAAGTTGTTAATAACATTGACTTTTTGAACCTCTTTTTCTTTTCAAAGAGAATCAATATGCCAGCAGTCAACTTGAGTCGAAGTATGCATGACACAAAATAAAAAAAAAAAACTCACCTTTTTGACTGGTAACATGGGCATTATGAATCCATCTTTATCTTTAGAAGGTGTACGCTGCACAGGAGCCGGTCCCTCGGCGGACGCATGCGTTACCTTTCGATTCGATGATATGAGGCAGTACAATGTGGGAATCAGCTAGATTCTATCAAGAATTATGCAAAAAATACCTGTTTCTTGGCTGGTGGGGTTTCATCCGGGTCCTGTCCGGGTCTCTTACGGAGAGGAGGCTTGGCATCTCCTCCTTTGGCGGTACCTCGTTTCTAGATTGAGGCCAATGAGTATGAATGCAAACAAGCCAGGTGATACACTAAACCAACTTCTTTGACATGGTCCTTTTTCGCTGGTGAGTCATCTTTCTGCTTTTGCGCTTGCTGCCGAGTGGCACGGTGTGCAGCTTGCGCATTTACCTGTAACCAGTATAGACTTATCGCGAAAAGGAAAAAAGGACGTAAGTTGTATATAATTGCAACGTGACAGACCAAAAATTGATGAGTTAAGAGCAAAGAGGCTAGCAAGATTCAAGGAGTCACCTTTTCAAGCGCTTTGTCAAGCTGTTCCAAGGTCCCCTCCTCACGCTCAAACTGGATGAAATACTCGAATACGACAGTAGGATGATCCGAGACAGAATTCAACGCCTAAATATGAAACTCTGTCTGGGCTCAAAAAGCAGGGAAAACAAAACAAAAGGTTACCTTATAAAGCAACTTTCTTGCTCCTTCAGCCGTTCCAAATTGTCTCTCGAATTTCACCGCCTCGATCCATTTTTCGGCAAAACGTCCTCCACCGGAAGCCAAAATATCATCCCAAATTTGACGACCCTAAGACAGACAGTTTCCATTAATTTTCTTCGCACGTGACACCAATGCTCGCAAACAAACATAAAGATAAGATAAGAGGCGGTGAAGACCAATGAACAACTTGTATGAGAGAACTTGGAAAATTAAAAAAAAATTACCTTTTTGGCATCACCGAGCTTGGTGTAAGCAAAATAAGCCCAGTTTTTACGGTAAGTAGCTTGTTGGTCCCATTCGTGAGCTCCAAACCACTCAGATAGAGACTAAAAATATCTTCAGAGCATTTTTGGTCATAAGAGATTGTGAAAAGCTACCAACCTTAGCACCATCTTCGAAGACAAGCGCCATTTTCTGAAAATCTTTATCAGTGGCATCGGCACGGCGACGCAACATATAAAGGTATGTTCTGTACAAAGCTCTTCCATCATCTGGCGTGCTACAAATCGAACACTTTGAGAGATTCTCGCTTTACGAAAGCAAAGGCATACACAAGGCAGAGTGACGCATACCTGATTGTCTCTCGAGCACTAATCCACATACCATCAATTTCTTCCACAGGCGAACCGGCGCGCTCGAGAGCAAGAAGAGTTTGCTGCCAAAGCGCACAGCTGTACGGACAATGGCGTACTGCTCGTTTATAGACACGGCAAGTAATCTATAGAAACCCTATTTACTATAGTTAGAACCGAATATTCGTGTTCGAATAATTTATTCGAAATATTCGACTATTCGAATATTCGAATAGTCGAATATTCAAAACAGTCCAATTATTCGATTATTCGAATAGTCGAATAAATGAAAAAGGCCTGTATTCGAATAATTCGTTCATTCGATAATTTGGAAAAATGAGTTATTCGAATACTCGTTTATTCGAGGAATTTTAAAAGACGGTTATTCAATTATTCGAATATTCGACTATATGTAATTATTCGATTATTCGAATAGTCGAATGTTCGACCAACCCCATTTATTCGAATATTCGTTCATTCGAATTTTGAAATGTAGCATTATTCGAATATTCGAATGCGAATATTCTGAAAATTACAGATCGAATAATATTCGTTCGTTCGAATATTTTTCAAAAGCCGATTATTCGAAATTCATTCGTTCGACGAAATTTTTCGGTCGTTCTAACTATACTATTTACATGATGCTAGCAGATTGCAATTCATTTGAATAAGTAGAAAAAATTGATGTCGCCTTCAAACACAACTCACTGAGTGAATTTTCAGCTTTGTTTCACACCATTGTCCATAGTCAAACCATATGTTCTCATCATCGGGATGTTTGTCTAACATGCGATCGTAGAACGATTGTATTCTTGCTGGATCGTCCTTTTCTTAAAAAAAAGAAACTATCAATAATCCTCTAACTGGAAGATAGAATAAAAGCTCTAAATCGCAGAATCAATACCCACCTTTTTCGAAGTTCAGATACTCATGAAAGGCATCAAGACTGTCATCGGTTTCAGCCAACTTCATTTCGTACTTCGAAAATTCCTTCATCAAATTGGTTGACGCCTCATGCGCTGCTTGTATCTCTTCATCAATATTCTCCCCTAAAAGTAGCGACCAGCTCGATCCGGTTCAATAGATTGAGATCGAACGTAAGCTCACCTGCGAACTCCAAGTAACTTTTCCATGTGTCGGCTAGATCCACATTTGGAACACGGAGAGCTCTTTTGTACAAATTCTTGATTACTTTTATTTGCTTCTCATTTGTTTCATCACCTAAACGGCGATATTGAACAGAATTTCGAAAGTCAATCCCATGAAAAAAATGTATTTTGACAAAAGCAAAAATACTACTCACCACCAAGCAGAGCCTCTTCAAAGCATAAATACGATTGCCATATCATAGCGCCGACATCAACACGAAGGCCAATTGCTGTCACGGCTTCTTCGAACTTCTCCAACAAAAAAAAGTAATTGCAAAAAGAGTGCGGAAGCCAAAGAACCTCTCTTGCAAATCCAGGATCAATCCCGCAGGCCCACTGAACCAATTCCATCCAAATTTCTAACGAATTATCGTCGAAAACTGCCCTCTCAAACAACTTCTCCATTCGCTCACGCTCCGCTCCAGCAGAGCGCTCGTCTCTAAGAAACGACTCTTTATACCAACATGAACTTCTCACAAGACACAAAACCACTGAAAGTCACGGATACTTGACAACTCACTGAATCCACTCCACCCACAATTTGCTCGACAGCGGACCTTGAGACGCTAATTTTTCTCTGGCTTCTGCAGCTTCATCAAGGTCGCCGTTTTTTCGAAGCAAAGAAATCAGCTCTTCTATCAATTTCTTATCGTCGGGATCTTTGGTGAGCTAAAAACATTTCCGAGTTAGGATAGTTTACAACGTGACAAAAAAAAGAAAGAAAACGTAGAGTATAAATTCGAATGACAATAGCCGTAAGAACTGCAGCACGAAACAGTAGAAACAGTCTATATTAGTAAATGTAGGTAAAATTCTCTTATTCAGTTACCTTCTTTCGTAGTTCCGTAATCTTCTCGTCCAAGTCCTCCATCGCCTCTTCTTGTGGTTCCATTTCAGCCATCTCACTATCTTCCACCTCCGCTTCTGCCATCTTTAACTACTCTCGTTACAGTGTGCTAATCGAAAAAAGCAAAAAAAAATTCAAAAAAAAACTAAGCGTCCACTATTTTGTAAAAAATTGGAAGTATCAATTGGCCAAACACAAACTCAGCAAAGACAACATGTTTCAAAACTTTTATCACAATAAACTCTATACAGCTAAGGAGACGTCGACCGCACATATTCCACACATTTTGACGGATCCGTAGGAAAATACTCTTGCATACGCGTCATCAATCTTTTGAATGACTGGATATACTTGCGCTGTGTCTCGTCGTTCAGCACGTGCGCAATATTGGAAACATATGCCTTCGCAGATCCGGGACGCTGGTGAATACCTCAAGGAAAAATAATGTATCATTCTACTGCCTATACTGTGACAAAAAAGTTTTCAAAAGACCAGATACACCTACTCCTGAAATAAAATCACTTAGAACATCAACTTACCAGAACGCGTCACACCCACAGGCCACGGTGCATTGCCTATAGCCATGGTCATATAGGCGTTATTAGCCAAAATATAGTTTCGATCTATGACCAACAATCTGTAAACATGAAGAGATGAGACATATAAAGAGATGATGAATAGAAATGAATAAAAGAGTAACCCACCTGCATATATTTATCAAGTGATGGCGAATGTCGTTATTACAAGTATGAGTTTCCAAAGAATTTAGCAAAGGTTTCAAGTTCATGACGGTTTGTTTGTGTATACTAGCCTGCAGCTTACCTAAAACAATATAAACTAGCAACAACATCTCCTTGAAAAATTTACGGCGAAAAAACAACAATAACTGAATTGAAATTCATTGAAGAGATGAAATGACTGCAAACACACCTGCGGGACTCTTTTTCTCTTCATCATCTCGCCTATTCAATTCCTTTCCCCAACGAGTAATGAGGTATTTGAGGAATGACAGGATTATGTCACAGTCTCTGTGAGGATCATTTCCTGGAAAATAGTGCGGTAAATTACAAGGATCTTGCTTGTTTGAAAACTGTCCTTCAACTGCAAAAGCTTATGAATCAGAATATGAATTACCTATACCCAACAGAGTAGCCTGTTTTTCAATTTCCTCCCAATTATCGTTGAAGGAAGAAGAGAGATCGACATCATGTCTATTTTTGTCGTCAGATGAGCCTTCTATCACTTCCTGGAAAAATCTCCTCTCTTTACAGACAATGCAGCGACAACGCATCTCAAAGTTTCTGAGGTGGAAAACACAAACCTTGACAAGCTCTTCGTCCACATCACGCATGGCCGATTGCAATTCATTCTTCCAACCTTCCTTCATATCTGGCTGTTCAATTTCCAATTTGAGTAAACGAGCGCGGATGTGTTGCTCATCTTCTCCTAAAACACTTCACATAACGAGAGGGGTCAAAGCGAAAAAAAAAACCAGATATTATGAAAGAAATGAAAAGTAAAGGGAAAATAACTTGAAACTTGGAGCTAGTAGCACTTTTCTTGCCCCCCCCCTCAAGATTAAGAAATCATATTTTGCCAAGCAAATGATCAACATAGAGATGATAGAGAAAACAAGAATGGCCTTACCGAACAAGCATATCGGCTGTCCTCTATCCCTGAGACGTTTGCGCACTTCAGACATTGTAATTTCTTCAGTAACTGTATCCTCAATGTGTGTTTCACCAGTTCCAGTGGAGCTAGTTGAGCTAGTGCCTTCCTGAATTGTCAGAGATTACATAAAGAGATAACAATACAAAGAAAAGTAGCAAAGAAGCATTCATACCTCAATCAATTCATCCTTAGCATGCTTTTGCTTATATTTCTCTCTATACTCTTCTTCGTGTGCAGCTGCGATATCAGCTCCTCTGATGTATTTCTTTCCCCCCGCCTTAAATGTAAAGGGCTTAGTAAACAAAGCCTACAAGCTCGACAAAGAAGAAAAAGTCCTTATAAAACCTTCACTTCAAATTCGGCTATCATCTTCCGCTTCCGCTCCATTTCATCCCTCAAAGTCTTTAGGAAATCCATCTCTCTGAAATTTTTTTTGTGCAGAATAAAAGCGTAACCGATTCTTGCACAAAAAACTCACAGAAAAAGTGGAGAAAAAAGAAACGAAAAGCCGACGACGGCAATTCTGTGAGGAGGCTTTGACTTGTGTAACCACAGACGCTGGCAACTTATGGCGTCGAAAATTCCAAGCCTGTGAATACCGCTTCGCTTTTCCTTCCTAAACCGCTTTGTTTCAAGGTTCTTTCTCTTCTCCGTTGTTGAAGTTTAACTTAGCTCAGAAAATCTGTAGAGTTTAGTATACTTCACCTATATTTATCCACCTATACTTCCGTCAAGTTCTGATCCCATTACGGTTACTGTTGTAAACATCTTAAACTTTGTTTTTTTCTCGTTGGTACAGCTACACAATTTTTGATCAAATATCCCAATTTCAGCATTTTCATCCATCTGCTAAATAAAATCTGTTAAAACGGATATCTCCAACATTACCAAGTTTTGTTCTTTGCTCGATTGATCAGGTGCATTTGTCTCTGATAACACAGTGTAACAATCTTTCTGACTTCCTACTGCAAAGACCTGTTTACTTTGTTTCTCTCTTCGCACTTCGCCTTTTCCTGGATAATCTTACTCTTCTCAACATTTTTTCGGTAACATGTCTCGTTCATATAGTTCTTTTTTTGTACAGAATCTCCTGTAGTGAGCGACTTGGACTAGTTACTGTTCTTCCTGAGTATTCCACCGAATTCAGGCATGTCTGCCTCACTGGCCCGACGGCGAAAATCTCAGCCGCAAAACATCAAGCTCCGTCGTTTAACCCAGGCCTACCTAACTCCTTACCATGTCACACCGAAGACGACCGGTACAGAGACAAAAATCGACCATATTTACTCTATCAGTGAGTGATAGTCGTCTATGTTTCAACCGTCAAAGTATCCTCGCAGCTTTTCAGCTCAAAATTTGATTCTTGATTATCAAAGCGTCACCACCGGTCTATTTCCACGATACTCTCGAGATCGCGATGTAGGCTACGTCAAAGACAGTATCTATTGTGCTCTAGCTTGCTGGGCCTGTTCCATTGCCTATAAGTAAGAGTATTACCAGTTTTTTGTTTGAGATTGTTCCCAGGCCCGGTTTGCTTTCAGGAGGCTTGACGACGAGCGTGGACGACAGACAGAGCTTCGTCAGTCTGCTGTGAAAACGATGCGAGGGATCTTGTTTTGTTGGATGCAGCAAAGTGCAAAGGTATGACCTGACTTTCCTTGATGCTCTGAGTAGAAATTTTTTCTGTTGAGTCAAACATGCGAGGTATGGGTTTTTAAAATTTTTACGCAATGCTTTATCGGCAGGTACGGTTCGGCGTGCCTTCTTAGTCTTTCTAAAGCTAAGCCTTGCAGTTGGATGCTTTCAAATCGAACATCTCGCCGGAAAATGCTCTCCATGCTCGATTTGATCTGCATTCTGGAATGACGTTGAATCGTCCCCATGAGCAACAGTATGGTCACATGCAAATGGATCTTGTTGCTTTGTACATACTTGCTTTGGTAGAAATGATTGCCAGCGGAGCGAAGGTATGGCTAATTCCCCAATTATACCCATGTTTTAGAGTTAGTATTTGAACGCCGTTTTGAATTTCAAATCTCTTCAGGTAATCTACACTCATCATGAGGTAAACTTCGTGCAGAATCTCGTTTTCTACATCGAAAGAACTTATCGAACACCCGATTTTGGCATGTGGGAAAGGGGTACGCGCTACAATAACGGCAAGCCTGAACTGCATGCCAGCAGCCTTGGAATGGTGAAGGTTCGTCACCGTGTATTGCACATTCGTGTTCTTCATGTCATTATCACAGGCTGCTCTCGAAGCTATTAATGGATTCAACTTGTATGGGTCTACGGGAAACAGCGCTTCCGTAATCTATGTAGATATTGACGGGCACAATCGTAACCGTACCACGTTTGAAACCATTTTGCCGAGAGAAAGTAACTCAAAGGTGAATAATCGTATGTTGAGCAATGTGGGTGCACACTGATGGTTTTTTTTCTCAGAATACTGATGCTGCTTTGCTCATGACAGTTGGCTGGCCTGCATTTGCTTCACATGATGAGTCTCTAATTGAGAAGACTGTATCGAAATGCATAAGGAAGTTAGAAGGCAGATATGGCATTCGCAGGTAGATCAATTTTAGCGCAATGTACTGTGTGATACGTTGTCCACTTTTGAGCCAAATTATGATAGAATAGATGCTACTTGCCATGATTTTTCTCTTAGGTTTTTGCGTGACGGCTATCGTTGCGAACTTGAGGATAACACGAGAGCATACTACGAAGAACATGAAACGTCACGATTCGATGGGATCGAGTGTCAATTTCCTATGTTCTTTGCATATTTGGCTCTTACGGGTGAGTAGAAAATTCTTTCCATTAGCTATGTCCTATCCCATATTTTGAAAGTAGTCGGAAGTGAAGCTCAACCTAGTCTTTTTAATTCAGCTCACTACCGAGGTGATCAGGAAAATGCGAACAAATACTTCGACAAATTCCAAGCGGTGCTAGTCAACGATGACAACGGTTAGTTTCTGACGTTCACTATCAAGCGATTCTGCTAATGAAACTATTCAGTGCCCGGTGGGCTGATTGTTCCTGAGTGCTACTGCGTTGAGGAATGTTATATGGAACGGGAACGCTCAAAACCAAACAGTACTGACCTCTATCCGGTCAGTCCACAAGAATTTGGACATCATCTTTGGAGCAACTCCATATATGTGATCTTGTTGCTCATACGTAAGTCCATTCTCTTCAGAAGTTACTTTTGCAAAGAAATCACTTTTTTGTTCACAGGTGATGGCCTCATCCATAAAGGCGATCTGGATCCGATCAATCGCCATATGCCTGCTTCTCAACGTCCGATGCAGTTTAATAGGCATTCGGAGTTTCAGGTGAGCATTGAAAGAACGTTGCGGCATTGTACTCTAGTCTTTTAGGGAAGTATGGAAGGTGATCCGGTCGTGCAGATAGCTTTGATAGCTGAATCTTCTCATCTGCAAATGAGATTGTCTACTTACGGCATCAGTTGTCAAACGCCACATGAAGTCGAGCCTGTACAGATATGGCCTAGCTGGAGGATGGTCAAGGTGATCTGCTATACTCTTCATCTGCTTCCTGAGACGTTTATAGTAAACGTTGTTTTTTGCAGCTTTTCGAATGTCTTGGACGAGATGAGAAATTAGGACTGAGTGGTAGACCTCCTCGACCATTCGGACCGCTTAGCACGTCTAAGGTGGGTGGCGCAATTTTTTTTAGCGATTTTGATTTTTAATTTTTGTTTGAAGGTATTTCGCGTGTTTGGAGATACTGTGCTATGTTACCCGTTGTTGTTTGAAGTCAAAGACTTCTATGTCAGTTCGGATCCGTCAGTGTTGATCGATGATATCAAGGTAGGCTTGCGTTACATTCTTAAGTTTTTCTTTGTTCTTTTATTTTAAGTGTTCCTTGAACCCTCTAAACTGTCATTTTTGACATGCAAAAGTATAAATGTTTGATATCGCAGCAGTAATTTTGGACTCTTACGTATTCACGACCAGCTACCCGGCATACTTTACCATTTTACTCGCAGCGCGATTTGGCAAGACTCCAGTTGTCTGGGATTAATCGTAAGCGCTTGCTGAATGCATGGAATAGGACATTTTATCAATCTTCGAAAACTGGAAGGGCTATGTATTTGTGATCTGCTAGTGTTAGATTCGATATTTGGCAAATTGCCAGATTGCATGGCGAGTGAAATCGCGTGAAGTCTGAAGCCCTAGGCAAAATTTCAATTTCTGCCATTTGGAATTAGTTGCTGTGTACCATTCCGGCTAGTGACTGAATGCAATCCTACTTCGATTGATCTGACACTGGAATTTTGGTGCATACCAGAATCTAGTGCGATTATATGAGAAACATTAGAGCTATGAAAAAACTTTTCATTCAATCTATATGTCATCTTTGCTAATTCAACCCATTTTGAGCGCGATATAGAATTTGTTTCTCGTCGTTGGAAATTGGCTGGGCGCCCTACTATGTGCCTTCTAATCAGAGAAGAAAACATTGTTGGCGAGTATTTCGACCATATTTTGGATCTCCTCGTACAGTTGAAAAATGGCTACGTCAACGGAATTCGCGTTCGCATGGGACGAGTCCACGTGAGTATCATATGCAGCAGTTTTGACAGTTGCACTCATATTCCACTTTTTAGCAACTACTTAACACAAGCTGTATAGAACACATTGATTTTGCTTCTTCGGATGATGTCGAGTTCGATATTGATGTTCTGGAAGAAACTGAGGGAAATAATCAAATTCTATCGAGGCTTAGCCTTCGCGATGGGATTGAGGATGATATGACTGTGGAGGTATGCTTGGAGCAACGCATGTAAACATCTAACGAAGTTGAAAGTTTTTTTTCTAGGAGGACGTTCGAGTGCTGAGAGATGACGACTTGTACGAAATAATCAAGAAGGATGATATGGACAAACCGAGACAGCTGGCTTTTGCACTAGCAGCAATGTGGATGAGACGCCATCCGGATACACCCATAGACGGATGTGAGTTTATTTGTCTTTTTTCATCTTCATCGTGTCTTGCGTTTCTGTGAAGTAATAGATTCTTTTGAAATTATTTTTCTACGCAGGATTTCGAAAAAAAGGCTTTCTTAAACGTTCTTTGTTTTTTTGTCTTCATAATCAAATTTTTCATTCTGATTCGTTCTAAGATTCTATCCGCGAGCGCATGGAGCGCCTATACCGTCGGGTCTGCCAGCTTCGTCTCTGGTGGCTGGTACGGTACTGCGCTGGTAAACTTCGCAAAGTCATGAATAGTTTGGCACCTGCCATCACTAACATGCTTGTAAGAGGAAAACAGGTGAAATACTTTTTCTTTTTGCTCACTTTATGTTTTGAGTATTGTCTTACAGGTTACTATCGGTGTGCGAGGTGTACGCGAACAAGTGATTCGTCGTCCCATATCGCCAGGAGAACTGACGGATTTGTTGTTCGCATGTTGTCCACAAGATGAGCCACAAGTTGCTGTGATGCAGCAGGAGCTAATCATCGCCTGTTCGGACCTTGTGAGATTCTCTGATATCCATGTTCTCTACAAAATTTTCTAACTTTTCGTTTAGATAGGTCACTCTCCATCAGCTTTCGATGGTGTACTTACTATACGGCTGTCGTGGTTAGCTGATGCCATCACACTACTGCTGAACTACGTGCGAACCACTGGATCTCTGACCAGAGCCACTGGAAGAATTGCGACACCACCAACTCCCACCACGACTGGAATACCTGCAGGTCAGTCAGTTAACGTCAAGACGCAGTGGAAAGAAACTTACATTTCAGTGAAAGTAAATGATGAAAATAATGCCAGTTTTGATGAGGAAGAGTTGCAGTTTTTTGGTAATTCCCTATCTTGGGAGAAATTTGGCGTTTCTTTCTAGTGCGATAGGCTTATTCCTACAATCTTCCGTCTGCGTAGCTTTTTTTAGAACTCGCCTTGATATTCGCAGTACTTTCTAGTGTACATAACATCATTCTGGTTCTCCGCGCTAATTTTCATTCTTCTATTCTAACATCCGTACGCACGAGATAGATGCTTTAATAGCTAGGCTAGATCATCTGAATATTTGGGTGTTCTCAGAGGCTTCTAGGACTGTTTAGATCATCATAAAGAAGAGAATTTTTTTAATATTCAGTCTAGCACTTACCAGTCAAAGCTTTCTTTTCATTGTCTAGACGTTAAAAACTTTTTGAGCAGTCTTGAAAATGGGTGAGATATAAAATTTGAGGACTAGTAAATAGGATAACCAAAAGAGCTGAAAATACGAGAAGTGGTGAAGTCTAAATTGATTGCAGATTTGTTACCAGAGTATTTTTTGTCGTCTCGTCGAAGATCTTCTGTAGCGATTGCTGGTACATGCATGCTGTGGCACATAACTTTCTCAGTTCTTTCCTTTCTGGTGTTGCAAAAAAAATCCATTTTGCTCTTTTTTCTAACCTTGTGTGAAGTTTTGCATTGCTTTGCTATACGTCTGTGCTCTGCTACGAGCATAGACCTATGGCGAAACTCGCGATAGTCGTAGAGGTAGAAGAGGTATTGTTAGAGGCTAGAATGTAAATCGGTCTTGTTTAGAGTTCAAGAAGAACTGTATCTACGATTTGTCACCGACAGTCGTCAAAGATGTCGTGACAGCGCTGATGGCTAGAAAAAATTGGCATCTTTTGTGAGTTTTGATCAGGGCTCGGCACGAGGTGGCTTACAAGCAAGCTGGATATCGTTTTTGGGACGAAAAGCAAAGGGGGTTTCGTTTTTGTGACCGAAGAGACACGGAAAATTGGCGACGGCGACCTTTTTTTTAGTCGACGTTTCGTTTTTTGGGGGATTTTGGGGAATTTTTCAGGTTTTTAGAGGAAATTTGGTTGAGGGTCAAAGGGGACTTCGTAAAAATTCCCAAAAGTCAAGGGGGACTTCGTTTCTTCCATTTTCATCTAGCCACCTCGTGCCGAGCCCTGGTTTTGATACTGATTTTGGAACCCATAATTCAATACCTGTTTGAATTCAGGTCACCCCTGCAAACCCGTCGTTTGAATGGTGCACTGAATCGAATGCCGGTAAATTTCTACGATCGTGTATGGTTAATTCTTGAAAGAGCAAGGGACGGTATTATCATTGCCGCACAATTTTTACCACAGGTGAGCTGCTGTAAAAATTGACATCTTCATCCTTTTTTTCGGTATTTTCCTTGAAGAACAATTTTACAAATTCAAAACGATTTATGTCATCTGCTTTAGTGTATTTTTTGTGCTTCATGCGAAATTTTGCTACTATTTCCATTTTATTCTTTGTTCCGATCAAAAATTTCAAATCTTTTGGCTTCTTTGAGTACTATCTGCAACTTTTGCGGTTTTGCCTTTCTTGCTAATCCATCGCCATAATCCCGGGAACACTACGGAATCAGATATGCGCAAATGAATGGAGAGGCTGACTGTGCATTTCTTATCATGTGCATTATGATCGTGCTCTTTTACAGATTGCAGAATGCTTAGCTCAGAATGATGTGTTCTACTTTTTCATTCCCTCATTCCCATCACCATAATCCATTTGCCTTCTGATTTACTCATTACTAAGCATAAGATGTTTTTCTTGACTCTCGTAAGAGTTTTCCATTGTCTTGTGATTTTGCCGTCATCGAGAAGGTTGGTGTTGATTAACGAAAGGTTGCCAATGAATGAGAATGTCGGCATCACCATTCATCTGGCTCAAGTAGGCGAAGACTCTTTTGTCTTGCTTTATCTGCTGTGTATGGAGATAAACCATATGTGACGCAGGGAAACCGCTGGAAAGTTTGAGGAATATCGTTTTTCTTTTCTTCCAGAATTAGCGGTGATGAAGGCAATCGCTTACATGCATCAGATGTGTTTAACGTTGGAACTTCGTAAGAGCAGCAAAAAATGATCACGCAATGTTTGCGGCCGACTAGTCTGAGATTAAGATGCTTCTGGCAATGGTGGCAAGAATTAGCTGGGGAAAAAATGCAAAGCATCGACTTTGTGTTACGTTGGGAATTTAAGCTGGTTGCTCTCACTTTAGAAAATTCTTATTGTATTATAACTTCTTTCTTGAAAATGAAAATAAAATGTCTTGAAAATCAGAGAGATTCTTGCTGAGGAGCTTTGATATACTATTTGTAATGCCTTACCGCAATTTTAATGTTTTAGGTAGGTAATCCAAGCGTCTTTGTTAAAGGTATAAACAAATACTTTAGTCCATGATTAGTGGTCTCCCAAACCACCTCGATTATCAGCCCTACTTTGAGACGGAATTTCGAAATATTTTGTTTATAATTTGAATTTTGCAAGATTCTGTTCTTGTCGAAAAAGTTGCGCATTACACCTTTGATCGGGATTATCGAAGCAATAGAGGAAACCGCAAACATTGGGACAATGAAACCTAAACAATATGCGAAGATTTATAAAGTTTGAGTTTCTTGGGACAATTCCAGTCCGGATGGAGAGATCACGAAAGAAATTTGAAAAGAAGGAAATCAGTGTGTTATCTGTTTGTAACGACTTTTCATCTTGAAACATTCAAAATTTGAATTTTTGAGAGTTACCTATGCTACCTTTTTCTGCAAATTAATAGAGTTTAACGGCTTCGATGAAATGTCTCCATAGAAAGAGTACGATTTCAGCGATTTCTAGCTAGAAGTTAAGGTTTTTTTTTAATTTCGAAAAATTTGTTCTGTGAATCCACAGAAGAGACTGATCGAGAAGAGTCCCACTTCGAAGATTTTTCTTTCAGCAACCAACCCTCAGCGACATGACCGAGTTCGAGCTTACATTTTCGTACAAAATCGAAGAGATGCTAAGCCGTATCGCTCATCCAGAATACCGTCAGCTGCTTGTTGAGGTCAGTGATCTTTTCATAGTAAGCTCTTGTTGTTTCACTTTCTACAGGCTATTATTGGTATTAGCAGTGATAAGCTCCCCGTTGGAAGCGATAGCAGGGAAAAGTAACTTGTCGCGAGTGTTTTACTTGTTTAACGACTGTAAAATCCCCTGAGTAGGATTGCCGTGCCGTCTCTTAGCTATCTTTGGAAGCAACACATGATTGCCGCGATTAGCAGCAGCATCATGGGTTCCTATGAGATGATAATCCGCAAAAGCTCGTAGCTATTGGCTTTTGCCCGAGCTTAGTGTAAAATTGATAGCGAAATCTGCAGCGCTTATCCTTTTGATGGCAAAGAACTACAGCGGATAGAGCTTCATAGTCGAGAGATTATGTGTGACGAAAGCAATGAAATTTGGTTTCTTTTGCAGCTTCTTTCGGTGATCGCAACAATTTTGGAACGAAACCCGGAGATAACATTTGGATCAGGGCCGATTGATTGTGACGTGGTAAGCCTTTTACATTGTGACAAAAACCATTTTTTGTGTGGGAATAATCTTGAAAAAATTGAAGGTTCAAAGACCTATTTTTGTCTAGAATGACAAAGAACGACGAAGAGTATGGTGGTTGATTTTTGCTTTTGTAGCTCATCAAGAAAGCATTCCACATCTACGCTGACCAGGAAAAGATCTCTGACAAGGAAGACCTTACCCCATTCTACCAACTCGAGAACGTGTCCTTGCAAACATCTACAGCAACTTATTTAGCTAAAGTAAGTCACATACGCATGTCATATACTTTAGCTTAATCTACAGCATAGGATTCTAACATACGGATTAGCCTATACTGTCTGTAGAAATCGTTTTGACTCAGTTAAGACGTCAAAGGCTTTGAGCTGCTTCGATGGAAGTTTTAGAGGTTTTGACTGAAGCAGTTCCATCGTAGGAGTTTTTGTCTGATCCCCCCATGTTACAATGGCGGAAGGAGAGTTGTTGGAACTAGCGTGATACTCTTGCAAAGCTTCCTCGGCTTTGGATGCTGCAATATTCATTTTGAGCAGATCAAGCTGGATCACATCCTGAGAGCAAAAGTTAAACAGGGCTTATGGTGTTTCATAAGCCCTGTTTAACTTTCGCTGGATTACTCATCATAATCAAGAGAACGTTCCATCGGTTCATTCTTTGGTTTTTTGTCTTGAAATGGCATAGGAATTTTCAAAAGATTTGCACAACCTTCAGATTTGCAAATTGGGATTGGCGCTAACTGTATATCATAAAATAACTGGCAGTTCTAGGAGTTAGTTTCTCTGAGCCTGCCAGTGATTGGGGAAAACGATCTACATTGTCGATATCCTTTGCTGCAACTTAGCAAAGAATTAACTCTTAATGTATCGTAATCAGTCGGAGTTATAGTATTGCTGGTAATTCATCAACAGAGTTACCGAACTCCATTGGAGTTCACCGAAATCCGCGTCGTATCGCCATTGGTTCAGAATGGAAGAATTTTCAGTCCAAGGGCAGACTCAGCTCGGCGAGGCTCATCTTCTTATATAGAGGTGTCTATCTGGATGTGGTAGACGCACAATGGACGATTAGACTTCAGAGATTACTGACCGCGGTAGATTACTCAGCTTGCAAGAAAGGCTGTAACCTACTGTAAGCGACTAAGTGTGAAATTAGCTGCCCACCATATCCAAATGGGCTTTTCTATATATCAGAAGATGCGCCTATCGAGCAGAGGTGGAACGGTGTCCTTGGATTGAGAACTCAAATCACGTTACCGTTGTGACATGGATTTTTGGGGAACTCCGGTTACTTTGAAGACTTTTTGTGAGCGGTACTCTGGATTCGAAACTGTGAACTCCATGTCACATGGCGTTTAACTCAACTCAACTTGAGTCATTCGTAAGTAATTTAAAACTTAAAAGCTTTTCTGAAACGTTGGAATCCTAAAGCTTTTATTGCGCAAATTTGCATCAAGCACTTAGAAGGGAAGGATACTTGGTCGAAGTAGTGTGAAGTGAACTTATGGAGCATAAAACGCTGATACCAAATTTGCTTTCATTATCTGCAAAGCGCTTTTGGGAGAGGAGTTGTGGAAATTATTTGAGGCAAACATTTGAGGGTTTGGCTGAGGTAAAACAGATGTTGAGGACTTTCCGACGCTTGGAAGGAGTAATTACTTGCTCAAGTTTAGGCTGAAGCTGTTAATTGCCTAAAGCGCCTTGGCAGTGACCATGATCCCACTTGAGCTCACAGACTTTAGTTCTGACTGATTTGATTGTAGACACGCGTTCAAATTTTTGCTTCACAAAATCCCCACAACTCCCCTCTCAAAAGCGCTTTGCAGATACCAAAGGCAGATTTGGAATCAGTGTTCCATACTTTATAAGACAGCATATTCACATAGAAACCTCACTTCGACCAAGTTTCCTTCCCTTGTTGCTAGCAGAAAGTTTTCAGTAATTGGGGATGTCATATAGAAGGGTTTCCTTGAACAACCAATAGTTCTTCGAGACATTACGTCAGGAACTGGAGTTGTTATATAAGACGAGCTGAGCTTCGGCACATCTGTTGTGCTTACATTTCCGTGTTATTCGGTGACAGAAGCTCACCTATTGCTGCTTTGGAGATAAGAAGCGAATTCGCGGAATAAGGGATTAGTATTTATATCTGCTTCGCTTATACATAAAGAAAGATGATCATGCATGATTCTTATCGGAGGTATTTGTCTTAGGTTTAGCGCTAAATTTAATAAAATGTTTATCAAGTTGGTGAAGGTTTTTGATCATGTTTATGAAGTTGATGAAGGTTTTTGATCAGCGGGTGGTAATCTCTTAATTCTGTGAATCAAAATAGGCGCAGAATACCTTGTAAGATTTTTGCAAGCTTTGCAGAAGGAAAATAATGCGTGAGCCAGAAGATGTGCAGCTATAGTGAGCCTTCGGGAATCTTGAAGAAGTATAGAAACCGGAGAACTATGTCATAACATAACATGAACATAACATAATTTAATTTTCATCTTTCAAATTTTCACCTGTAAAGAAAGATTCTGTAATTTAGGCTGTGGTCGATTTTATCCTCAATGGTCGCCACTTTTCACATGCAATCAACATAGCCGGCTCCGAACGTCAATTTGAACGAGACGACTGCAAAATGATGTAAATTCTAGAGGAAAAGGTGAAGCAAGTAGGATATAGTACTATATTTAGGTTGTTATTATTCGCCATGTATTACGCTCACGTTATATCTGTTACTTTTGGCATTTTTTCTAGAGGCAAACAGCTTTGTTTATCAGTTCGCTTGTGATGCTAGTCAGTTTTTCAAGCTAAATTAGTTTCTGAAGCTTCGTATAAACAGGATACTGAAGAAAACAATGAGTGCACAAAAATGTATGATTTTTCGTTTGAAGGAATTTATAGCACTTCGCATACTTTGTAGATTTTTTTCATGACAGCATTCTTCTCAATTTTTTTTTACATTTTTGCTGAATTAGGAATTTGCAGGAAATACTTTTTGCAAAGCCATTTTTTCTAGTGTAATTTTTATAATAATTTTTTGCTGAATTAGTAATTTGCAGGAAATATTTTTTTGCAGTGCCATTTTTTGCCAGTGTAACGTTAAACAATCACCTTAGAATCGCTATACGTATCAAGTTTCCTCGAATTTTTGAAAATTTTTTGAAATTAGAATGTTGCAGGGTACTCGGCCAAAATCTGTAGCTAAATTTTTGTAGTCTAGGCCAGGTTCCAACGAATTAAATATGACAATTAGACTGCTGAATTTCATAGTTTATTTTTACTTGTGCTTTTTACTTTTTACTTACTTTTTTACTTTTACTTATTTATTAGTTTCAGATTTTCTTTATTCGATAGTTATCATGTTAACCAGTTTGAGACCATCTTCAATTTCTCTTGCTCACACATTTTACCCTCTTTACGCATTTTGTCTTAACATACTGCTCATTGTAAGTTCAAACTGTAAATACTTGTAGATTACTTTTGATACTGCTTGATGCAAAAATAAATTTTATCGACATGTTGACCTGTGAATCATAATGTACTGTACAATTTTCAAATACAAAATTTATTTTGAATTGGAAAAAGAAACACCCTAATCGCATAATACTGTACAACACAACAAACTAATAAGAGATCACAATGCCTCATCAGGATACTGTAATGATGCTGATTGGCTGAATAGTATAAATAGACTATGTAGCTGGCTAAGCTAGAGAATTGGTAAAAATTGCTGGAGTGGCTGGAGCTGGGAGAGTAGAAGGGTTTGGGCCAGAAGTGGGGAAATTGGGGGCTCTGGAGAAGTAGCAACGGACTTTGTGAGATCCATGGATGAGGCTTGCTGTGCGAGCAGATCGGCAAGGAGCCTGCAAAATCCAGGATTAATTGAGAGAAGTGAGACTTAACTCGTACGAGTTTCATCTGCAAATGTACGAGTTACTCACTTTGCTTGCAGCATCTGTTGGAGGTATTCCATAAGAATTTCATTTCCTGGGAGTACTGGTGGTGAAGCGGTAGGAGGTAGTAGAGGAGGGCTGGTAGGGAGAGATGGTGAAGAGGATCCGGACATGGAGCCGGAGAGAGCGGACGAGACTACGTATGCTCGTGCGGACGACTCGTCTGTGTATGTGATCGTGGTGCCTTCTGGAAAATACAGGTTATAGTGGGCTAGAAATTGTGAATTTTGAGAGTTTTCCTCGAATTTCAAGTGCACACGCACGAGTATATAGACTTTGATTGAGAGTACGATTTCTATCTGTTTTGAACGTTCTGAAGGATTGGCGACCGTTTCGCACCATTACAGTATGCTACCGTACCGTATCGTGCGCGATTCAAGGGGTAGCAAGCCATGCGAACAAGGAGTGCTGCTTTTTTTTTACATATCAAGCATCGTTAACTCGAATTTGTCCCTTGAGCGAGGTTACGGCAGCGTGCGGTACTTGTGTGCAAAAGGGGCGCTAAGGTCACAAAAGGTTATCATTCCCAGTTCTTGATTGAAAACTCTTACCTTCAACTTGATCGCCCTTTGGAACGATTCTCAATCGCATGTTGCCATTTTTTGAACGTATTGTTTTCAGCACAGCAGAATTCTGTCCAGGTTGTCGGTGACGGAAGCGGCGAATGAGTGCATTTGCACGCATACTCATCACTGAGGAGCACTGAAATATTTGAGATCAGGGTCCTGCTGGTCCCATCTGGATTGGATAGTGGCAAACTAACTTACCCGATCACAGTTGCATTCATTGAATGGACATACGGCTGCATGACCTTTTAGCACGGAGATGAATCCATGGCCTTCGCATTTTCGGCAAGTGAGTCGTTTCACTGGAAAGATACCGTATGAGGAGAAAGTTATCGCGGCAGGCAGGAATTTGTTACTGTATGGCTACCATAGTCAATGTACGACTACGGTAGGCATATGGTAGGTGGTCGAAATCAATAAAAATGATATGGTTTTGAGCAAAATGCTTACTTGTGAAATATATGACTAGATTTTAGGTTTAAACTTAGATCTAGAGTAGTTTATTATTTAATTGTGATTTTAGTTTTTAATTTTTTAAATTTTTTGAAGATTTTTTAATTTTGTTTTTTTTTCCGGTTATGTTAACCATCTCTCTGCTGCCGTGGGTTACACCCAGATCGGAGCTAATCTGCATGCTTCTCCTATGGATTGAGCTATTTAATCCGGAAACGAGTTAAGACCCCGAAAACCTTTCACTCAACAAATCATGCGATAAGAGGTATTTATAAGTTATATCCACGACCTAATCTCCAGAGCGTCGCCGCTATCACCTGATTCATGTGAGTAATCTCCACGAGCAGATTTGCAGTTTTCCGAGGCAAAAACAAGTTAATCTGGAGGATTATAGCTTATTACGTAGCAACTACTACTTTTTAGATATTTCATTGGGACTCTGAAAGGTTAAGTGCTTTTCTAGAAGAAGTTAGTGCATCACACAGATTTGTTGGCATTAAGGTAAGGACAAATATGGAAAGAAGATTATCGGGTATATTCAAGCTTTTGCACTTTGTATCTGATCTATCGAGGACTATACGCTAACACTTGTTATGTTCCTTTACTTCCACATTAGACTACAAACAGGTTATCTGACAAGAAAATCGCATTTTCTGAATGTGAATTTGTTTGAGCATCGATTTTGGAACAAAAACTTATGCAAGCCCTTATTTATAGGAACGATGGTCAACATGTGGGCTAAAGGCGCTTTTCCACCAACAGTAGCAGTCATACGAACAATATCGGGGCGCCTATGAGTCGTAAACTATGATTTCAGCGGCTAAATGTACCACTTTGTTGTGGTGGGTCATATTCTGCTAAACGCTACTGGCATTGCACTACGCTGGAAACATTATTTTTTATGGGGAGAGAGGCACTTATACGCGTTACGGCCCTTTTGCACCGCTACAGTAATTTTGTAAAATAAGAATGTGAATAGCTTGCTGCAGTGTGCGATCGTACCAAAAAGTACCTTGCTGGAAATCTACAGGTAAAGAGCGCTACTTATCCGGATCTACGATTTCAATTTTGCCCTTCGCAAGCTGTACAAGGTTATCGTAGCGTACGGTATATGGCGTAAAAGGGCCGATATCCATTTATCACTTGGCAGTGTTTTCTTTTAATGAACATTTCGGCTCTATGGAGTTCAGAACTGTTTAGGCAAATGTGGACTTTTGAGCTAACCAATGAGCCCCGAATACGGTAGAAATTACGGTATGGGCAGGACTTTTGAGGTTAATTACTCGGTCGCTAATAAATCATATGAGCTGCCGCTCAAGCGATAGCTCAGTTAAAGGCGCCTGATCAGTCTTCACGCAAGAAACCCAGGTAGCTAGGTTCTCCAGGACACTTAAAAGTGTAAAGAACATGGAGAAGGTAAATTCTGATAAGAATATTTGAATTTATGAAATAGGTTTGCTAGTGTTTTCGAGCAAATCGAAGCAAAACTGAAACTTACTAGTCTTCTTCTTAATCCCATCGTCTGGTTGTTGTAGCAGTGTTGATTCGCCGTAAGACATCTCGAAAATCATCCTGAAACTGCCTCAGCTACTACCTTATAAGGCATTGGGGCGTGGTCGTCCTCATACCGTTTAGCATTTGCCGTGTCATAATCCGCCGCGGACGACGACGACACAAAATCTGTTGTCGTGTTCTTCTCGCTTCTTCTTCTCTAACGGATAAGCCTCTTGCTATGTCTAGGGATCATCGTGCAAAGCGCGTGTTGAAGTTCATGTGTTCGCTGAAATGTCGTAAAGTGATATTTTAAATCTAAAAATGGTAACATACGATATGAACTCGTGGGATGTGTACTGTGCATTATTGTGCGCAAGTGGCATAAGAGACATTCAAATGAGACCTTTGGATAAAGCCTCTAATGGAAATTGCGTATTTCTTTCCATTCATAGCAAATGTTTGTCGAGGGGGCATTCTGGATGCTGAGGATACGGTATGTGTGCCTATAATTATGGAAAATTAATCCAAATGACTAAGTAAAGACAACAAAGACAGTGGCGCCGTTGATAAGGAAACGGAAGCTAGGGTTTTCTAAACTGTAAATTGTGCTATCTTCTAAGGCGCCGAAATTTTTACGTATTGAAAAGTCGACAAAATTATTTTTTAAACTAAAGTGGATTAAGGACTCAATAGTGAGATTGGAAATTGCAGCTACATGTTGTACGTAGTCTGTGTAAAAAATGTATTTTCTCTTGTTCTGTGAGCAAAGTAGAAATTTGGTAGACTAACACATTTGTTAAGCAGGTCGTAAATCAGACCCACTTCGACGCGGATTTTTCGGGAAGAACATGAAAATTGCATTTCAAAGGTTGCCCATAGTGGTTGCCGAAGGTGCATTATGACCCAAATGTTTGATATTCGTTTTGTTCGCTCTTTCTGAACATATTTCTAAACCTACGGTAGGCTTATGGCTCCCGAGAGGCCAACTTACCGAATTTTCATGTTCGCAAAACAGTTTTTTAAACCACTGGTAAGCTTACGAAAACGCATCTTTTTGTTTAAGTCCCGCAGTGTGACTACCGTAGACGTTGCCTAAAACGGTAGATAAAGCAGATGGAAATTAATCAGCTTTGTCATTGCCCATGAAAGTCTTTGCAACTTTATTTTCCAATGTAGAAGTTGCGTAAAGTAAACCGAAAAAATTGCACGATAAATTTTGATAAAATAATATATAGCGTTCTGTTTTCAATTTACTCAAATTTATCCGCATTTGCATCTATGATTCTTCTATATAGATAAACTATTACTTCTACATATACCGTATTACCTTACTGAATTAAAGGATGCTTCTTGCCTCCGTTCTGCTTCCTTAAGATTTTTTGAAAACTTAGTAATTAGTTTCACTCATCTGCATTAGGACGAGCTCTTTCATCAGAGAAACCTGTTTTATCATGATTATAGATTTTGAGTATTGCAAGCACTTGTGCTTTGAATTTCAGCTCAAATCGATAAGCCCCAGGCTACAACATTAACTCGAGTGTAAACGTTGAGTGATGACTTTGGAATTTGGCTCTTTAGATTCTAGATTTAGATTACTCATAAAAACTAAGTCAACTTGAGATGAACTTTTCTGCATAATCTCATTATAATGTTCAGTCGTATTTTTAATCACTAGTAAATGTTACCGCAGCTGTCCAACTCTGCAGCTTTTTCTTCTTTAGTCCCGTAACATTCATTGACCCAAAGACTGAATAAATGCCTCTAAGCCAAGATAATCTCAAACGTAAGAGAGCTGGCAAAAACTTTGTGCCTTTTATCGCTACAAGCGTGTACTTTCGTAATACTGACGAAACTTTTCTAGAAAGGGATGGCACTATTATTGGGCCAGAGGCATTTTTTCGGAAAATGCTAGCGTAGGATGTAATCCAGAGAATTCTGGAATACGATTTGTAAGCGCGACTAGATCTATTTTCAGCCAAGTTCGGAAGGGAGCAGTTTGTAAGTGCTACTGTTACATTAGAATAAAAGGAAATCCTTTGAAATAAATGCTTCCTCAACCGTGAGTCTAAAATCATTCTTCAGGAAACTTTAGAAAAGTTTGTTGTTTACTCGGCGAAAGATTGCTACATTAAGAATCATTTAAATGCAAAAAATACTCCCTTCTACGTTAGCATCACCCTGTTTATAGCTATTTAATGGAAGAAAAGAAGAAAAAATTCAAAGGAGGACAAATTGGTTTACTTCACTGCCAAAAAGATAGCAGAAATCTGATTAGAATTTCATGCCGAAATTTTCGTCGTGTTGTTGTTGTTGTTAGTTGTTTAATAATTCGCATTTTCTGTCAATTGTTCAGTCATGATTTATGCTTAGACTGACGTTGACGTAAAATTTTTGTCCATAGGCAAAGAGGATGATAATATTATAGTAGAGACTCAAAAGTCCATACCAACACCCCAACCTATATGATGGGTAAGCCCTTGAATCTTCTCAAAAGGAAGAAATGCAGTGGATTTTCCTATTAACTAAGTTTGTGAAGTTGGTCGCAATGTTTTTCTTGTGAAGCGACTTGGTCACGCAGTATTGAATCAGTTACACTTAAGATGATCAAGTATCTTTGCTATAAAAAACTATGCACACCATCCAGACAGATTTGACGTCGAACTCGATACAAAGATAGTCAAGTCCACACTTTTAATAATCACATTACATCAAAATAGCAGCTAAAATACATTTTTAAATTATGACGGATTTTAAGAAGCTTTTAAAACATCACCGCTAGGGAGTAAACTGCTACGTATGAAACCATCACTGCTATTTACTTCAACGCACTATGATATTTCTTCTCGAGACTTCCTAAATTCTAAATGTAATGTCATTGCTCTTTGACTAGGATAGAATAGTTTTTGCATAATCGCTAACATGTGGTATTCTAAATGTTTTTTACTGGTCAAAATATGAAATTTCTTGTTAGTTATGAGCAGAATTGTCCATTACTTCAGTGAATTACCACAACATAACTTCGACAGCTGTTGCTATAAAAAGGAGAATGTCTTCTTCACGGTTATTCACCATGCGGTATTCATTATTATTGTTAACTTACTAATATTGTGCAGGAGCACTATTTCGATCTGACGTTTGGGTGGGAAGAAGAACCACGACAGCGCTATAATCACTTATTGCCGAATAAGGGGCAATTGTTTCATTCAGCAAGGACCAGTGTGATTAGTCCTCAACTAAATTGTGCTCTCGTTACCATTTTTGTGCACTGAAACAAGCTTGTGCAAGATAAATGGACAAATAAGCATTGCTGTGGACTTTATGAGTCCATTTTACTTGAGTATAAATTAGGTTGTTTCATAAGTTCCTGGACTTTTTATTTTTTACGTCAAAATGTTGTATCATTCGACAAAGGCAATCGTGCTCTACAAGAACTGTTGTTCGCTTTCGGAGCGAACCTATAGACAAATTTGCAATTTGCCAGTATGCCAAGGTCCGCTTGAACAAGGTCTCAATAGTTGCTGTTTTTGAGCGCTGCCGCTCAAGTTTTGCCCTTGACGAATAGGTGGGTTCTTCTCAGTGGTGTAAATGTATGATTGCAAGCTTTGGCCAACACTTTGCGCCTTCCCATTTTTGGCAGAGTTCTCTAAATACGACCAAGAGCGAGACATCTATACAAATGATTGAAGTGCGCTTTATCCTTGTGCATAGCGTCTCTTTTGACAAGAAGACACTTTCATATGCATCATAGTCCTGTAAACAGTTGTATCTCACCACTTATGACCAGGGATTGGCACGAGATGGCTTTCCGAATATGCAAAAAATCCCCTTTGACCTAAGTCGGAAACGTCAACTAAGAATGACCTAACTTAACTTGTGTTTTTTCATAGCGCCAAAAGGATATCCCCTTTGCTTTTTGTCCCAAAAACGATATTGAGCCACTTAGCCACCTGTGCCGAGCCGTGCTTTTAACATTTCCAGGTGAAAAGTCTCACTTGCGATTTCCGTATACGGATCGTAAGTTGCCGAACGCCAATTTCTGCCTTTTGAAAAGTTTTACATAGAGATGTTTGAGAACAAAAGACACAATGTCTGTTCTTGAAGATAAAAACCACTTGCAGAGCAAAATTCTCTCTAATGGTATAGATACTTTGGCGCGAACCAACCGCTTCATCAAAAAACGATGACATAAACACAACTTCAGGAAATCATGAAGGGACCTAAAATTTCCTACACAAGCGTACCGATATCAGAAATGAAACCTCATGTCAGGTAAATTTTTATGGGCAGTTTTCCTTGATAGCTTACTTTGCAGCCTGCGCATTGGTTGAACTATACGTCTTATCTTCTCACCAATTTGATCTGACTCCGGAAAAATAGTGCTAATGTTAATCTAAAATTCCATCATTTATACAATTTCAGGGATTCACTATATATCTTGTAAAAGTGCTATGACGATGTTTAAGGCAAGGGACATACCTCACGCGATTTCAGTCGCCACGCGATCTGGCAATTTGTCAGATGTTTTCAAATTCAATATTGGTAGACCCCAAATGTACGGTATGTATAACTTTCGCAAGTTGATAAAATGCCCCATCTTCCGTACATTCGGAAACCCCGTACGATGAGTTATGAACATTTGGAGTATTGCCAGATCGCGTCTCGACTGAAATCGCGTGAATTATGTACGAGGCCTAAGGCTTCAGCTAGCTGCGATCGCACCAAGGAAGTTACCGGTATATGGTGGTCCGAAACCGGATTGTGTAAAATTTGGAGCCAGAAATTCCATCAAATACTTTTTATTACCTGAAAACATAATATTCTGTTATACGTTCGTTTAAGTCTTCTCCAGTAACAAGAGTCTAGCATACTTGCTCTTGTCAATCATAACAGTGCTTTCGTATGTTCTCTACCCATTTGTTCGAAGTTTGCCATCATCAGGGCGTCCTTCAGGGTTGGATCTCTAGTAAAAAATGTTTTCCCATTTTACCGAGTCGTCTTTCGAAGATATTTTCTGTAATTCGTCACTTATTTCAGCCTGCTGCTTCCTTCTGGTAAGTGCTTCGTTCTTCGTAGCGAA